ATTCCGCAGGTAGACAAGACACACGTGAGGTGAGTTGAAAATCGATCCAATACTCTAGGCCTTATTTAGATCACCTCTAAATTTTAAGTTTTTTCACTCTCTTCATCACATCAATTTTTAACGCATACATGGAACATTAAATGTAGGTAAAAAAATAACTAATTACACAGTTTGGTTGTAAATCACGAGATGGATCTTTTAAGCCTAGTTAGTCCATAATCGGACAAAGTTTGTCAAATACAAACGAAACGTACTACAGTCTATGTTACAAAAAATTTATAATCTAAACGAGACCCACATGACGAGAGATTGAAGTCCGTTTCGCAACCGACCCTGTTTTTGTAATTAATTAACTAATATAATAGGCGAGGTTGCCCGGTTGGACTTATCTTAAATCTGACTTATTTCGTTTCTTTTTTCATCCGAAACGGTGTTTTTCTCTCATAACATTTCAGCAAGAACAGTATTTTTCAGCTAATTTTAGTCAAGTTTCAGCGAGCTGAACGGGGTATCCGTTTGGTGGCTGCGTCCGTTTCGTAACTGCGTCCGTTTCGTAACCGATCCGGCGACGCTAGACGCAGGCGGGAGCGAGGCGAGGCGAGGCGATAGCACACGACAATGACCATAGTAATTTTTTAGGTGTAAAATGGAGATTTAGTCCAAGCTAAAAAATGATTTAAACAGAGCTAAAAGGACTTATAACTACTCTCTTTGAGAGCCCACGAATCCCTGGCCTCTACTTTTTTCATTTTTTTTCATTTTTCATTTTTCATTTTTATTTTTGCTTTTTTTTTTCTTTTTCCCAGTTTCTTTCTCGGGTTTTCCCCCATCAAAAAACCGGCGCAGGGTAGTGCTCCCATCGTGCTAGTAGTTTAGAAGGACGGAGTATACTACTTTCCGTCGAGAATCCTAGATTGCTTTTCACTATGTTCTATAACTCTAGCTCACAACTTCATCCCACTTTTTGGACTAGTGAAGAGATGAGCACATCTATTACGAGGAAAGTGGTACAAGAAACATGAGATACTTAGGCCAGTTCTAACCCAAAAACTAATATTTTCTATACTTCCCAAATCACATATATACTGCACATAAAAATCATATTTTGAACCGATAGTTTCTTCAAATTATTTTGTATTCAATCACACATCTTCTCTTTCTATCGTCTAATTATCACATCTCTTCAAATCTTAGTCCATGTGTAGACATAGGAGCTGCTTGGCTGATGGTTTCGAATATTTTTTTAATTTTAATACTTTTTCCAAACTAATTTTAAATTTAACACTTTCGGTTTTTTTTTAAAATTAACATTTTTTACCACGCTTATTGCCCTGGCGTAGCCAAATACCTGTGCCGCGCCATACATGGTGGCGCGGCATAGGGCTGACATGACGACGACCGGACCGGTTAACTGTTGACGTGGCGGGGCTGCCGCGCCACCGATCTTGAAAAACCGGGAACGGCAGTGTGGTTCATGCGGTGCGCACGCGCTGACACATCGTGGAGAAGCTTTTGAGCAAATTTTACCACAGGTACAAATCAGAAATTTCACACATAACAGTTTTGTACCCACATTTATATTTGAAGACAAATCAAACGGAGCTGCCGTGTTACCTAGGGAACACTTTATTTCTACAGTCCTGCAACTGCAGTAGTTCTACGCTACGCCAGCACTGCTAGTACCAGCACAGCAACGATTTGACGAAAGCCATAACAGCTGGACTTCTGAAGCTCCCGTGCGTCTACGGGTCCACCGATCCAGCCGTCCCAGTCGCGTACGTACTCGGTTACTACAACTACTACTACGAGTCTACCACCACTACGTTGGCCCCATCCCAGTAGTAGCAGCAAATGTTTGACGCAACAGGTCGGAGCGGTTTAACTGCGGGAGACCGGCACTCCGGCGACACGACGTGCGCCCTGACTTCCCGGCCCAAATTCAATGGCGTTCTGGGCCATGTTTAGATTGCAAAAAATTGCAACCTGATGAATAGTAGCGTTTTCGTCTTATTTGGTAAATATTGTCCAATTGTGGACCAACTAAGCTCAAAAGATTCATCTCGTGATTTCCAACTAAACTGTGCAATTAGTTATTTTTTTTACCTACATTTAATGCTCCATACAAGCGGCTAAAAATTGATGTGATGGAGAGAGAGTGAAAAAACTTGGAATTTTGATGTAAACTAAACAAGGCCCTGGGTTGGTAAACCAGCCTCGGCGCCCGTGCCCTGCGCGGCACAGGGACGGGAGAAGCGGAGCGGCGGTGCCAGAGCCAGACCGCAGGCGCGTCTCTCGCTTGACTCTGGGCGCCGCGGTTTCCGAGGAGCAGCGCATCGAGCCTCGCGCGGGCAGGCTAGGGCCAGGCTATCACGGCGCGTCGCCAGGTCAACGATCAACCGGTTTGGTCGTGGTCATGTTAGCCCTCTGATGCGTCACCATGCATTGCGCGACACAGACATTTGATCGCGCCAGGGCAATAGACGTGGTCAAAAATGTTAGTTTAAAAAAATCGAGAGTGTTAGATTTAAAATCAGTTTCGAAAAAGTATTAAAATTAAAAAAATATTCATAGTTTCTGTGACTGACAAATCGACTGAAGCGAATTTATTGTGAGAGAAAAACAATGTTATAAGTTCAAACGAACAGGGCGTTCTTGTCTCATAAACAATTTCTTCGTCTCTCTTCTTTAATTTCATAAATGCTAAACCATTATTTTGATTAGTTGGTGCCTTAATTTAATTATGAACATAAAATTGGGACTGTCTTTAAAAGCAGAGATGTGATGCAGGGTCGTTACATAGGTGGCTTGGGGCAAATATTAAAGTTGTGATAGAAACGCGAACTCGAATTGAGTTAGATAAGAAATTTGGTTTAACCTAAACCTACGATTAGATTCTTTTTAAATAGATGCATTATTTTATTTTAAAGATTTATTCGGATGAGGCAAAAGCTATTGAGGTCTTATTTAGATTGCAAGTTTTTTGAACCCAAATTTTTTCATCCAAAATGGTTCAAAATCTGACATCCAAAGGGGTTGAAAATTTTTCATAGCACTGTTTGCCCTGCCAAAGCATTAATGGACTAAAAGACACAAGTGACACTATTAAATGCATTTAGAGGGATGCTTGCTGCTAGGCTCATCCTTGCATGCGCATGCATGCAAATCCATGCATGCTGCATGCTGCCTGCTCTTCCTTGCATGCTCTCGCATGCAGCAGGGAAAACCCAAAATAATTACAACATTCAAATATTATTACAGTCCGAAAATCATTTTACAGTTCTCAAATATTACAATGCATGTACCCAAATATTACAGTCCTCAAATATTACAGTCCTCAAACAACATTATTACAAGTCCAAGCCGCAATCAAACAATTACAACTCACAAGTTCTCAAACATACACATGTATCAATATCTATTAAACAGCCTGTTCGCAATGCTGTCACGAAAGGCATTCATTTGTTCACGATCTGTGCTATCAGGGGCAGGCTCTGTTTCTGGCTGATCAAGATAGGCTTCAGCCGGCACAAAGTTAACATGATGATCTAGGTGCTGGAAGTCCACATCAAATTGCCTACTCAACCTTATGAAGTTATGCAAAGCAACACAAGCAACTATAATCTGCGTTTGTGTTTGAGGAGGATAGGCAGGGATACTCAACAATATGCGCCACTTCATCTTTAAGACGCCAAAGGCCCTTTCAATCACATTCCTAAGAGATGAGTGTGCATAATTGAATATCTCCTGTTTGCCTCGAGGTTCTCCGGCGTTTTGAAAGTCTTGAATATGGTACTTCGTTCCCTTGTAAGGAGCAAGGTACCCGGGACGGTTTGGGTAGCCGGCATCCACCAAGTAAAACATCCCTACACCACCAAGTACCTGTAATTGTTAAATGTTTCAATTAGAAATGTCAAATGTACTACCACCTAGTTGTCTACCTTCAGGTGGATGAGGGAAGTCATTCTTGAATGTTGTCATGGCATCCTCGAACACTCTTGTGTCATGGGCAGACCCCGGCCATCCCGCAAGGAGAAAAGTAAAAATCAGTCAAAGTCGCAAGGCGACCACCACATTACGAGTTGTGATGCCCTTGCGACACAAGTCTTTTACAAACTTATCTTCCGGCACCAAAAGCAGGGAAGTGGCTGCCATCTATAGCTCCTATGCACCTTTTGAATTGAGGATAGAACCGTCGGTTCCTCACCCTAGGATGCATTGTACTAAATTACAGGTCCACAGGTTTTAATGATATCATTCCCAAGTGCAACAACACAGGCAACACTCTATAGAACATGTTGTGGATGTGGCTAGTGACCTCTCAAATCTATCATCACTTGCCTATATGATTGTGGAGCACCAACCATCCAAAGGAACATACCTAAAGCCTCGCTTGAGGTGGACTTTTTGTGTCTTTGAGGTCATACTCATCATCAATACCTTGTGCATCTATAGAACATATCTGGGGTGATTCTAAACATGTTGTAACAGCGATTTCATTTGCTAGTTTATGTTCTACCCAGTCCGGCCAGTCATCTTTGGCACCCTATAGTATGCCCTATTGTAGTACTTTTGCATGTGCATGGCATACTAGGACATACCATATACGATTGCGATTTCTTCTTGATGTCATCAAAGAATAAGTGAAGAAGTCCTCCTCCCACTGCTCATCATCGCCGTCATCGTCATCCTCATCAACGACCAAGGAGCAAAGAGGTTGAGCAGCCCCCCATGCACACATGAAACAAACAAATGAACACAAATCGGTTCTAATTAGCGAGAACAACATACACGCGGCAGCATACCTCAAATCCAACAAAGACTGACTCGAAACAAACAAGATGGCTAAATTCGAGACATCACAAGCGAACATCACAAATCACTTAGTTCTTTGCCAACAAGTTCGACAACACAACATACAAACGATGTATCGTAGTTCAACTAACATGCATCACAGACTTAGTACACGAGGTTCATGACACAAACACATGACAAATGCATTATTAAGAGGGTCTAGTTAACGACCCGGCATAGTGCTTAATGATGGCCATCCTTCCTTTTGCTTCTGACTTTTTAAACATTCTCATAGCGGCTTCGTTTTGGGTGATCATGAGGACATCAATCCACTGCCTCTCATTTTCCTCTGTTGCCCCTGCCTCTTTAGCCAGCTGTATCACTTGGTCAATGGTGTCCATTTTGTCATTCTTCTTCTCTCTGACTTGATTCCTCTCATGCCAAATCTCCTTCAGCGCTTCAGTCCTGTTGTCCAGACTGACGGTCAAGTTCCTTATGCCTTCGTTCATCCTCACTGCGGGACTCCTGCCCCTCTTGCTTTGACTAGCAAAGAAGTCTTTAGAGTCTTTGAGTTGCTTTGTAGCTTCTCTTGCTCCCAAAGTGCTCTCGAGGGGTATGGGCGTCTTCGTCATTGTCACTTTGTTCACGAGACGGTTGGCGCATTCCTCGTATTAGGAGCATAAGCGGTTTCCCCATCCTTTGCTACGCCAAGGAACATGCGCCCAAAAGGTCCATGTAGTCGGCAATTGTACCCTTAAGCTTGTTGTCTGCAAAACAAAAATTACAAAAGAACTTGTTTAGAACACATGATTACAACCCGAATTAGGTAAGAAAAACATGATTACAAAATGAATTAGGTTGTACCTTGTCGTTGGTTTTCCACCATTCACCATTTGAAGCAGCGATGGAGCCATCTCGCATTATGCCCCAAGCCTGCCTCTCCTTGTGATAGAGCTTAGTAGGTCATTCCATTCCTTCTTCAGCTGGCGGACCCTACTCCCAAAGATGATGTTGTCATGAACTAATTCTGTCGCTTTGAAGTAACCCTCTGTCAGATTTTTCCAACCCCACTTCGACATCTGACCCCTAGGCGCTTCCCTTGTCAATCTCATCAACGTAGAGTCGATGAGAAAAATGCAGGTGTTTTGAGGACTCCACTGGGCCTTGCTAAGGGTACTCTGAAATGATGCATAAAGAAAAAACAACACATGGCATAGGTAAACAATATGCCTAAACAAGGACATAGCGTAGGTAAACAATATGCCTATACAAGGACAGCAATGCATGCAAAGCATGCATAAACAGCTCGCATAAACAGCATGCACAAGCACAGCACATCAATCTACTTGTACTAGCACAAGCACTGCATAGCACAACAATCTACCATGTGAGCAGCACATAGCACAGCAATCTATTTGTACTAGACCACAAGCACAGCACAGCACAGCAATCCCATGGAGAAAGAAACTTTGTGTACCGGGACATTAGTCGGAGGGACGTCCTCGTCGTCGGCCGGCGGGACTACTAGGGCATGACGCTTTGCCGGGCCCTCCTGGAACCGCCAGCCGAGCCGCCTGCCTCATCACCATGAGGCCCCAGGGGAGGCACGCGGCGGCGAGGAGGTCGGAGGCCGAGGGAACCCCTGCCGGCGCGGGATGGCACGCGCATGGGAGGGGGGTCGTGAGCGCTGCCGCTGCCGCCGTCTTCAGCCGGGGACTGGAGGATCTCCTGGTAACGAGCCAAGCCCGGCCACGAATGGCTAGCGTTGAGGTCCAGCTCGCTGAACCCCAGGTGGCTAAGGGAGGGCGCCTTGCTGCCGAAGCCGTAGCCGAAGACGTCGCCGGAGTTGTTGCGAAAGCCGGTGTGGGCCCCAGATCCGGCGTACGGCAGCGCCTGGGACAGGAAGTCCCTGGTTTCGGAGCCGTATCTATAGCCAGAAGCGTTGTCCAAGGAGCCGTCGTTGAAGTCGCCGTCTTGATTCGAGCCACCGTGGTACCCGTCCATCGCCGACGAGGAGGTCAAGGACACCTGATTTGGACGAAGGGAAGGTGGATCTGGACGTAGGCGGGCTGGATCTGGTGGAGGACTGAGCTGCGGCGTGGGAGACCGAGAGCGGCGGCGACGGAAATGGAGAGCGGCGGCGGCGGAAATGGAGAGCGGCCTAGGGTTTGGGGGGAGAGGGAATGGATGGGGTGAGGGGCGCGGGGACGGGGTGGGCTGGATTAGGTGCTGGACTGAGCGGCGGTAGGGGAGACCGAGAGCGGCGGCGGCGGAAATGGAGAGCGGCGGCGGGGCGAGAGCGGCCTAGGGTTTGCCCGGGGGAGAGGGAGTGGAGACGGATGCGCGAACGGGGCCGTGGTCAGGGTTATCCTGGGGATGCACGCAGTCCGAGGCAATGATTGGGTCGGGCCAAATTTGCACCGTGCAGGCCAAAATTTTTTCCATCGGGCGTTTAGATTCCAAATTCGAAATGTTAGTTTTTTTTGCAATTTGGGCTGCATCTAAACAAGGCCTGAGTGTCATTGAGTTCACATTTTTTTTATTGTCTCAACATTCGAGTATAAATTGTAGTATCTGAACCCACGCATCAACTCACGCCTAACACACTTACATCTCTAGTACGTAAGCTAGATCCACAATCTATATCTAGGTCTAAGAGTAATATGACAGCGATGGCTCGTGCGTGCGAGACACCTGAAATCAACGGGAAATAAATCCCCAGGCGAGGCACCCGAGCGAGTATCAGCACTCGAACCCGGGTGGGCAGCTTGAGCGCACGCTCAGCTGACCAACCAAGCACCAGCTGGTTCTCCATTGAGTTCACATATTTGGTAGTTCTTGCGTGGTATGGTCGTCGCTAGTCCCGTGGAGGAAGAAGACGAACCCCTAGAGTGTGTGAAGAGTGACAGCTGGCAGGTGGAAGAAGACGAACCCCTAGAGTGGGGCAGACTGGCAGCTGGCAGGTGGAGAAGCAGAAAAGCAGCAAAGCTACGCTGGCCGTGAATTTCCGAGCGCATGTGTGCTTAAACCGATAAGCTTGACGGGCTAGGGCCGGCTTTCGTGGAGAGACGCACGGGGGCTGTAGCTGTGTAGCACTGCAATTGGCAAACCCAGACGATGTGAAGTGGAGAAGGTTGCTAACGTTTAGTACCATCTCATATGCTGCCTATACGAGAGGGCGGCTGGCCGCCAGTACAAACCACGCAGCTGCGTGGTGAGCATAAAGCGGACTATTCTTTCGCCTTAAAGATTACCGTGTGCACGCCACACATAGCAGCATATGCTAATTTTTGAAGGGTGCCTTCTCTTTTTGAGAGATTCCCAATAGTGCCAAATTTAATTTTGAGAGAGACCCAACAGTGCCAAATTTAATTTTGCTGTAGTTGTTAAATTAAAATAAAGTTTTTTCAAACATCATATTCAAGTGATGTAGTCATCGTCCTGGTTATGTTCATCGGCTCTTTGATATATATTGCTTGCACATCATCGGTTCTTTGATATATATTGCTTACACATCAATATAGCCAGTAATGCTAACGTTTAACTGTTCTACACCAGATATTGGCTATGTAGCCAATAGTCTTGATAGACATAGTGGATCACCTAGACATAAATCTAGCAAGTGCAACCTTACATACGAGATAAAACTTCATAGAACATGATCTAGAGAGAGAGAGGAGTGGAGGTGAGATGTCACCGGCCACTCGCGGGTTTGGAGAAAGAGCTCGACGTAGTCATGGCAAAAGTGATGCGGTCTAGGTCGGCGGTGTCGCGGTGGCGGTGTTGAGGTCAGTCGCAGTGCAGTGGTGGCGCAGAGGCGGCGGTGAAGACGGCAGTGGAGCTTCCCGTCGCTGGCTGTGCCCCTCACTAGATCCGATTGGGTTTGTCGGTGGGTGTGGCGGCTCACGGTGAACCTCATACTAAGAGACGACGGCCTCCACCTCTCTATATAGCGCAGTGCGATGGGGGCCCACCAACCATGTAGGGTTGGGTGCCCCCGATCAGGACGCGAGGTCAAGGCCCAACTCGGGCCGAGTTGGAGAGATCAACACTAACAATCTCCCCATTGATCTCATCTTATTACTTAAATTTAACTTACTTTATCTTTTTCCCATTCCATCACAGATCAGTGCATAGAGCGTGCCTCATCGTCACTATCAGTGCTATTGGATTAACAGCTACAATGCACCTCTCTATTTTGAAACAGATTCTCAACTAGGCCCTTATTGTCCAGGAATCATAGACTTTCCCTTAAACCCATGCCGGCTAAGTGTTCTATGAACACGTTGGGTGGTAAGCCTTTTGTAAGCGGATCTACGAGCATCATTTCTGTACTTATGTGCTCAAGACTAATTATATGATCCCGGACTTTATCTTTCACAACATAATACTTTATATCAATGTGTTTGACAGCACCACTTGACTTATTGTTGTGAGCACAACATACTGCTGGATTATTATCAAAGTATAACTTGAGTGGCTTATGTATGTCGTCTACCACTTTCAACCCGGGCATGAACTTCTTCAGCCAATTCACCTGCCCTATGGCCTCATAACACGCTACAAACTCAGCATACATCGTAGATGATGTAGTGACAGTTTGCTTAGAGCTTTTCCATGATTTAGCTCCTGCGAGAGTAAATATATATCCTGACGTGGATTTTCTTTCATCTCCCGCATAATTTAAATCTGAATACCCCTCTATGTGTAGGGAATCAGATCTTCTGGACGTTAGCATGAGGCCTTTTGTGACTTGCAAGTAGCGCAAAACTTTCTTTACTAGTCTCTAGTGTTTTATTCCTGGATTACTCTGATATCTACCAAGTAACCCGATAACAAACGCTAAGTCAAGACGTGTACATACTTGAGCATACTGTAAACTTCTGACAGTTGAAGCATATGGAACCGCTTTCATTTGATCGATCTCATATTGGTTCCTAGGACATTGGAACTCCCCAAATCTATCACCCTTGACTATAGGAGCAGGTGAAGGCTTACAATTTTGCATACTGTATTTCTTTAGAACCTTTTCTAAGTATGTCTTTTGTGATAATCCTAAAACCCCCTTTCTTCTATCTCGGTGAATCTCTATTCCCAGAACGAACGAAGCTTCACCGAGATCCTTCATATCAAAATTCGAGGACAAGAACTTCTTCATTTCTAGTAGTAGATTAACATAACTACTAGCGAGTAAGATGTCATCCACATACAAGATTAGGAAAATATATTTCCCATTCTTGAACTTTGCATAAACGCAATTGTCCTCTATATTTTCTTGAAACCCAAACTTTCTTATTGTACTATCAAACTTTAAATACCACTGTCTTGATACTTGGTTTAATCCGTAAATGGATTTCTTCCGGTGGCATCTCATATGTTCTTTTCCTTCTACAACAAAACCTTTTTGTTGTGCCATATAAACATTTTCCTCTAAATCCACATTTAGGAACGCCGTCTTTACATCCATCTGATATAATTCTAAATCGTAATGTACTACAAGCGCCATTATAATTCTAAAAGAATCCATATATGAGACTGGAGAAAATGTCTCATTGTAATCTATGCCTTCTCTTTGCGTGAATCCTTTTGCCACAAGTCGTGCTTTAAATCTTTCTACATTCCCTTTGGAGTCATATTTAGTTTTGTAGACCCATTTACAGCGTACTGTCTTGACTCCTTTAGGAATTGTTTCTAAGTTTCAAACACCATTGGTATTCATTGATCTCATTCCTTCTTGCATGGTTTCAAGCCACTTTGATGAGTGAGCGCCTCTCATGGCTTCTTCAAATGAGGTGGGATCACCCTTCATTTGAGATTCTTCACATTCATAGACTTCGTAGTCATCAGGAATGGCTGGATTCCTGACTCTTTAAGACCTTCTAGGGGCCTCGTTAGTTGACGCTTGTTCTATATGGCTGTTGTTGCTCCTCCTCATGTGTGATAATGGGTTCTATAGGATCCTGAAGGACAGGTTCCTCATGTTCATTCATTGTCGCCACGGGAGAACTAACAACATGTGTTGTTACTACAGTGTCCCTGCACTGTTGGTGCAACAACAACAGGTAGCGTGAAGAATGGCTCCTAAACCATCGGAGTAGGCACATGTACCCGCTTCTCCTCTAGGTTAATTTCTCGCACTACCATGCCCCCCCTGACCATATCATCCTCCAATAACACAATGTGTCTCATTTCTAAAAACTTCATATGTCTGTCAGGACAATAGAAGCGATAACATTTTGACTTTTCTGGATAGCTAATGAAATGGCAACTGATTGTCTTAGAGTCTAGCTTCCCTATGTTTGGGTTAAAGACTTTAGCCTCAGCTGGACATCCCCACACACGTAAATAGTTAAGTGAGGGTTCCCTTCCTATCCATAACTCATATGGTGTTTTGAGCACCGACTTGCTTGGTACTCGATTAAGAATATAAATGACGGTTTTTAACACCTCCATCCATAAACTTATCGGTAGAGTAGAGTAACTTATCATACTTCTCACCATATCTATTAAGGTACGGTTGCGTCTTTAAGCTACTCTATTCTGCTGAGGCTCGCCCGTAGTAGAGTACTGGACAACTATGCTATTTTCCTATAAGAACCTTGCAAAAGGTCCAAGAACTTGGTCATATGGGGTGTGTCGACCGTAGTACTCCCCCCACGGTCGGATCTTACTATCTTAATCTTTAAATTATGCTGATTTTCTACTTCAGCCTTAAATATCTTAAATTTATCCAATGCTTCTGATCTTTCTTTAATTGGATAAATGTATCCATAACGAGAATAATCATCTATGAATATTATAAATGAATCATAACCATCCACACTCTTCATAGGAAAAGAACCATAGATGTCAGTGTGAATTATTTCTAAAATTTCTGCACTTCGTTTGGCATCTTTCTTTATTTTCTTAACATACTTTTCTTTTATGCAATCAATGCATTGTTCTAAATCTAAAAATTCTAATGGCGGAAGAATTGATTTCTTAATCAATCGCTCTATTTTTTC